CGTGACCACGCCCGAGGGCGGGGCGGGGCGTAACCACGCCCCCTCTGTGACCCCGCCCAGTCAGGGTCTTCGAGTTCGCCGTGCAGACGGTGGGTCTGTGTGCCTCCTGTTTGTGTCTCCCGCTCCTCTGCCTGCTCGAAGGTCCGTTTCTGTCTCCTGAGCCTACCACCCCCATCCGCTGAGTCTCCCTGCCTCTTGCTAGTCTTCTTCTGGTGACTGTGCCCAGAGGGATGAGCCACACGCCCCAGGAGCCCAGACTGCCCAGGGCCATTAAGAGGGTGTAAAAACCAGGACGACCAAGGTCTCTGACCTCCTCTTCTAGGAAGTCCTTCCCCACCCCATTCTCTGATTTACCCCACTTCTCCCCAGGGCCACCTCCCCCAGAGGCGGGGTGGTGGGAGGAGTCCTGCCCAGTTAGAGCGCTTAAAGATCCCTCTGCTGAAGGCTGCAGCCTAAGGTTCCGGCACCCGGGCACCTCTGGTGGCCTAACGAACGGGAGATTCTCTACCATCCTGCAAGCACACACGGATGAAGGCCCAGAGTCTGGCAGGCATTCCTGGTTCCTGTGTCCAGGGCACCTTTGGGGCCAGCCAAGCAGAAACCTTAGCTTTTTTATGCTTCCATTTCTCCAAATACCCCGTGGAGTCATTTGAAAGAACAGCTCTCACCAGGGTGGGGCACAGGGGATTACTCTGAGATTGGGAGTTATTAATTTGAGCACCTACTACATGCCAGGCCCAGTGCCGGACACCTCACTGGGGGGTCTTCAAAATGACCTAGGGAGGGCTCAAATCACAGGGCCTATTCCCTCCAATGCCCTGGAGTCTGATGGCCCTCACCTCATCCCCAACCTCCCTCCTCCAGAACATGATGCCCCAACCTCAGTTCTGAGGCCCACAACCCTGTGGCCTGACACCCAGGGACCTCTCCACCTCCCTTCCCTGATGACTAGAGAGTATCAGTCCCCCAATCCATAGATTGGACGCTATGAGGCCGAAGGTCACAAAATAGAAACCCACTTCCCCATGGAGCTGAAGGTCACACAAAAGAACCCCACCCTCTGACCCCTGACCCAGGGCCTCTAACCAGAGCTACTCCTTCTCTTAGAGCAGTGAAAGGTAGTCAAATAGCCTGGAGAGAATGGCAGAATGACCACCAACAAGGACAGGTGGGTGGATGAAGAGTGAACTAATGAATAGACACAAAGGGAATGGAACATACCCAGAAACGGAGAAAAAGCTAACCACCCAACCCCCCAGCTCCCCATGGGGAGGAAAGAGGATGCCTAAAGAAATAAAGGTCAGGCAATTGACGATAAAATTAACAAAATGAACTGTAGAGCAAGGGGACCAAGAGTGGCAGTTGTGCCCCGGACAGGTGGGAAGCAGGTACAGCGAGGAGTCGGTGAGCCGGCTGAGGCTGTGGGATGGTTTATTAGGGCTATATCCAGCAAGGCCACAGTGCCAACCTGGGTCTGAGCCCAACGTCCTCAGGAGGCACAGGGGGTGTGGGAGGGGAGAAAGCCACCCCCAGGCCCTGCGCTGTCTTGTCTCAGTCCCTGTTATGGTTCCATGCTCAGGTGAGCGAGGTATCGTCGTCACTTCCCTCGCCGCCAGCACCGCCCAGGCGCTCCTCCCGACTCTCTGCCACCGCGCTCTCGTCGATGTTCTCCAGCGAGTCCGCATGCTGCACGGACAGCTCCGACAGCGCCAGGCTTGGCAGCAGGCTCTGCTCTGGGTGTAGCCACGGTTTAAAGTGGGGCTGATGCTTCTGCTTCCACTCAGGGTACTTGACGCACGCCTTGTACATCTTCTTCATGGCCTGTGGAGCCGCAGCACCAGGGTCAGGAGTGAACAGGCACAGGACTAGTTTCTTACCACATCCCCTCTCATGCTCTCCAGCCACTCAGCCCCCCACTCCCAGCATCCTGAGTTCTTGCCCCAAGTTCATAACTCTGCCCCTCAGCCCTGACTCCCTGTCTCTATCCCCACTCCACCCATTCAGCCCAGAACCCTCTCCACCAACCTCCATACCCCCAAAGTCCCAAGGCCACTCACCTTGGGAGCCAGGAACTGAGAAGATTTATTCACCACCCACTTGGGTAAGGAGCCTATGAGAGCAGGGAAGGGGAGTGAGGAGAGATGGGAAGCAGCAGCCTCAGGCACCCAGTCCCCTGCCTCCAGCCTGAGGTTTCCAGAGAGGCCACCCTCTTCTCCATGGGAGTGGGGGGGGGGGGGGGGTGAGATAAGTCCCATAAGACTTTATTATTCTCACCCTCTCTTTCCATCTCAGACCAAGGTGCTCTGCTAGAGGGGAATGTTAGCTTTTTCTCCATTTATGGGTATATTCCATTCCCTTTGTGTCTATTCATTAGGCTTACCTCTGTGTCCCTGCCCCCTCCTGCTGAGCCCCAGAGGGCTGGCTGCAGGGAAGAAAACTGCAGGGTCTTAGGTGACTACAGGCTACAGATGGACTGAATTGCTGACCCAGCAAGCTCCTGCCTGCTGCCTGCCCTCCACTCACACTAACAATCCCTTCTCATACCCAGTCCCTCTATGGGGAATAGTCCTGATGCTTAGCTCCTACACTGCCTGTACCCCAGAAAGCCTAGCTGCTGCACAGGCCTCTTGGCTGGACACTCCAGCCTGGCCTGACTTGGAATCCACAGCCCAGCTCTCCACTCTGTCTCATTCCCAAGTGTCCGCTCTGCCTTTGACACTCAACACACTCACTCAATGAGATGCTGGGGAGCCCAAAGCCTTGGCCACTGGGCCCTCAGTGGGGTTCAGGGCATTCCCAGGTAAAGGTGCTTGGGGCTTACCCATCCTTGAGTCATCCATCCATTCATTCACGCACTCCACATTCGCTCAGTGATACCCACCCTGGGCCAGCCCTGGGGACACAGAGAGGAACTCACTGTCTGGGGGGCCCAACAGTGTGCCAAGTGCTCTGCTAGAGGGGAATGGGCCCACAGAGCAGGGAGCCAGCGACTCCTCTGGGTATTAGGGATAGAGGAGGAGACATCTGGAGGGACGAGTAAGGGAGAAGAGGTGTTTCTAGGCTGCCTAGACAGCGAGGTGGGAATGTGTAAGAGCAGCCAGTGAGCAGGGAGCAAGTCAGTGTATAGGAGTGTGAGCACTAGGAAGGGAGCTCTAAGCTTCATCATGGGACACTGGCTACCACCTTGGCCCTGGCTTTTCAAACCGCTGTAACGTCTCAAACCGTGGGTCAAATGATGAATATGTTTTGGATGAATATGCCCCAAAATACAAAACAACTCCTAACAAAAACCCTTCTGGATTCTGAGTAAATCAAGTCCCATCCCCTGGGAAATAGGAGAGGATCCCATGGTAGGCTCCAGGGCCAAGCCCTCACCTTTGGGGTCCACCTGGGCCAGGTAGGTGATGACGCAGCTCTTGGGCCCCGTGCTCTGGATGAGGTAGCCCGTCTGGATGGACACAGCTCGGACCAAGTCTTTCCGAGGCGGGTATTTCTGGGGACAGAAGGCACAGGGAGGTAAGACTCAGGGTGGGAGCAAAGGAGGTGTCTCTCTGTGAGTACACACACACACACACACACACACACACACAGAGTTAGTTAGCTCATATCTCCTGGTGTCCACTCCAGGCCAGGCCTGCTGCTGGGGTGAGGAGAAAAGGAAGAGTCAGACTAGGCTATCCTTACCCTTTTTAGGGTCCGGGTTCATGAGCACACACAGGCAAGCACACACATACCTACACACACGCGCGCGCACGCGCTTGTCCTTGCCCAGGCCAGCTGTACCTGCTTGTCCTACCTGTCATGGAGATCAAAGTGGCCCAGCCTCAAGGAAGGCCAGGGAACCCTGACCTCACTCCCCACTTTCCTAGTCAGACCATGCAGAGCCCAACCAGTGGAATTCAGCCCATCTGAGGGCCAACAGATTTCATGTCTGGCTTGAAGTCACAGGGAAGTCATGGTAGCAACCAGGGTCCTCTCCCTAGGCTAGGCCTGCCAGCCCAGCCCTACCTGGCACCTTCCCTGCCCACCCAGCAGGGAAGGCAGGTCAACTCACGGGATGTTTGACTGAGTAGTTCATAATGATGTAATCAGTGCCCATGGGGAGCCAGGAGCGAAGGGTGATGACATCACGGTTCTTCAGGGGCTTTGGACACCTCCCTGTGGAGGGCAAGGGACAGTTCAGCCAGGCCACTGGCCTGCCTGACTGACTGCAAGGGAGGGCATGGCAGAGGCTGGCGACACAGGGATGCCTAGTTAACTGCCAGCTCCCCCTGAACCAAACAGGTACCCCCAACACCACAGTCCCAGAACTGGAACTAGGAAAGAGACAGAGCACAACCCTCTCCCCTCCTGTCTCCAGCCACCCCTGCTCCTCACAACCTCACACAGCCCTTACCTTGCTGGCCTGGCTTGTTTGTATATGTGAGTGTATGGGAAAATAACGGTATTATTTGATGTAGGTACATGAAAACATGTGACTGTGAATACGTGGCATATGGCTGTGGGTTGTATACATGTGTACACGTGTTTGTGTGGAATGTGCATACATGAACATGGGAGTGCATAATGTGTTTTAGTGTACGTGTGTGTGTGTGTTCACAACTGTCTTGGAGTGGACAGGGATGTCAGGAAGGGCAGCCCAACATCTCAGCACTCAGGTCTCTGAGCACATTGGCCGGGAGAGCGACCACAGGGAGGGAAGACGGGTGGAGCCCAGCTGGAAGCCTGGTAGAGGCCTGCAGGAGGCTAGGGGAGTGTGCTTGGACTTGCTCACAAGAATAATAGCCCACGTCAGCATTGACTGTCAAGCGAGCGATGTCGAAAGTCTCAATGACGTTGCTGTCCCACTTCTTTCGGTATTCAATGTCATGTAGGACATCGTAGAGTGTCTCGGCTGGCACATCGCGGCACTCCATCCGGCACTGCAGATAGACACATGGGTTGTCAGGGTCACACAGGGTTCAAAGCCTTGGTACCAGGGGTCCGGAGGGAAGACAGGCAAAGGGGGGAGAAGGAGGAGGACAGAAAGGAACAGCGACCTCTAAAGCCAACATGGACTCGCCACTTGCCACGAGTCCTGTCCAGCCCTCCCAGAAGCCACCTGTGCCAGGAGACAGCAGCCCCTATATCCAAAGACTATCCCCCCACCTTAGCTCCCAACAAACCTCCCCATTTGACCCTGTTTCCTTCTCAAGGAGGCCTTCCTGAATTATCCAGCCATATGTTGAGTCTCTAGATCTGTGCCCTCTCAGACCCTTGAACTTCATGGCCGCAGGCTCACAACTGATTCAACACAGAACCTGGTATGGTTACATGTTGACACGAAAGCATGAACGAACAAATGCCTAAGTGGATGATTTCTTTCCTCCATGGTACCTTATCACCTGGCCATACCACTTGTCCTTTTTTTTTTTTAATCCAACAAGCATCTTTGGATCTCTTATTATTTATTAGCCTTGTCTTCAAAGAGCTTTCTGTCCAGCAGAGACAAGAGCCGCCAAAGATACCTTTTTAAAAATTTAACCCTTACAATAACTCTGCCACACAAGAAATCCAAGGAGGAAATCGAGATTCAGAAAGATTAAGTAAAGTAACTTGCCCAAGTTCACCCAGCTGGAAAGTAGCAGAGATATGGGATTTAACCCAGATCACATGTCTGGAAAGCCAGTAAAAACAGAATGAGGTTTCGCCAGATTTGCACTCAGCAAGATGAAACTTAGTCCATAGCCTTGTTCTGTGACTTTTTTTCACCCAGGAGCCCAAACCCCAGGATCAAGTTCCTCTCAGCAAGTGAACACATTTTCTTGCATCGTTTAAAAAGGTCTCCCAGAACTGGTGTTCAGACGGTGCCAAGGGAGGCACACACGTGGCTTTCTACTAAAAAGGGGATACATGCAACCCTATGAGGGCGGCGTCACATTGCCTTCCCCCTAACCTTGGGTTAGGCTGTGGGGCTCCTAACCATATGAGAGGCCACAGGAAGGACACATCACTACCTATTGGGTATTTTAGGAACCAGTGAAGTCATCGAGCCCTAGAAATACTTCACTTTGCAGAAAATAAAGAGGACAGAGGAACAAGCTAAGTATCACCATGAGAAGCTAAGTGTTACCACGAGAATACAACCAGACAAAGCCAGAGGGTGAGAGATTCTGCAGAGTTACTGGTCCAGTCTCTTCTACAGATTAATGTCATAAGGAACTAGGCTAGACTGAGAGACTTACAGGACACAACAACCAGATGGAAAGTGTGTTCCTGGATTGCACACTGGTTTGGACACAACAGCTATAAAGGACATTTGGGACAACTGGAGAAATATGAATATGATCTGAGTGTTAGATATGCCAAAAATTTGCTGAATCAAAATGGTGAAGATAGCTGCCTGAAAACAAAAAAGCAGATTACAAAACAGAATGCATGGTGTACTCTCCTTTGGGTGGGGGGAATATGTGCACAGAAAAAGCTCAGGAAGCACGGTCACTAAGGTGTTAGCAGTGGTGAGCTCTGAGTGATGAGACTATGGTGGGCTTTGGTTGTTGTTGGGTGGGGTTTTTTGCTGTTTGTATTTCTAATTTTCTAAAATGTATAGTACTGCTTCTATAATAATGAAAAAAATTAAATAAAAAGTTCCCCCACATGCCCGGCCAGTGTGGCTCAGTGGTTGAGGGTTGATCCATGCACCAGGAAGTCAGGATCCAATTCCTGGTCAGGTCACATGCCCCAGTTACCTGCCGATCCCCAGTGGGGGGCGTGCAGGAGGCAGCCGATCAAAGATTCTCTCTCATCATTGATGTTTGTTTTTTTTTTTCTCTCTCTCTCTCTCCCTTCCTCTCTCTGGAATCAATTATATATATTATATATTTTAAAGTTCCCCCAGAGATATTGAGAGGTGCACTTATCACATGCCAGGTACTAGCCTAAGTGCTTTATACATATTACAGTATTTTATTCCCACAGCCACAGTCTGAGGTATTAGCCCCATTTTAGAATTAGGAAAACCGAAGTTCAAGGACAGACTCCAGCCTGCAGACTCATGTGACCCCGAACATGTCACTCTCCCTCTGTTTGCTTTCCTGCTTCAGGAGGGGGTATGACTAGATCCAATCATTTAACAACCTCCAGTTCCAGCCCCGTGTGGAGCTCACAAGAGTCAGAGATGAACCTGGGGCCTGTCCTTGAAAGGCTTCTTCCAGTTGAGAGAGGAGACCTACTTGAAAATGAGAAGGTGCCCTAAACTGCCCAGTGGGGGCACAGAGGAGGTCAGCTCTGTGATGTGGTGAGGAGTCAGGCTCCATGGAGAAGCTCAGTCTGGAAGGTAGGTGTCTGCCAAGTGGCCTTGGGAGAAAGAACAGCCAGGGAACAGGCACCGAGGAGATGAGAGTGTGGCCTGTAGGAAGCTGAATGAGTTCCATTTGCTCCAGTTCCCAGGGTGTGGTACAGCCTAATACTTAAAAGGTCCTGGTTCCAGATCTCCCTGGAGAAATATGTAATTCTGGGACTAGGTCAGAGTAAGTATAGGTGAGCCCGGAACATCTTATTGTGCAAAAAAAAAGACCTACCACAGAATGCTAGGGAACTTGCCCAGAGAACACAGGAGCCAGCGCCATGAGCTTCCACTGGTTTGCTTTGGTTGACCAACTCATCAGTGTTTATCTGAAGCGTTCCCCAGTTTTAGCACTGAAATCCACATCCCAGAAAACCCCTCTGACCTGGGCAAACTAGGACAGCTGGCCACCTACCATGGGCTAAAGCTGGGACAACCTGTGATTAACATAAATAATGAAAGTAACAAGTTCTATTCCACTCAGTAAAATAGGTATATACAGGTATGAATAAATAAATTGAATTTTAATAAGGGTATTTGCATAGTTTCAAAGTACCTTCCCATCAAATACTTATTACAAAGGGAAAATGAGTAACTCCATAATAGAGAAACCTGGCAGGTCCCACCTTAATCGAGCAATCAAAGTGAACATCATTAGTAATGGAACAAGTTACAACTGGGTGCTGCCTGATAGGACAAAATTAAAAAAATACAGGCATGCCCTGGCTGGTGTTGCTCAGTTGGTTGGACGTCCTCCTGTGCACCAAAAGGTTGCTGGTTCAATTGCTGGTAGGGATACATGCCTGGGTTGTGGACTTGATCCCCAGGAGCGGGGAGAGCAAGCGGCAGCCAATCGATGTTTCTATCTGTCTATCCCTCTCCCTCCCCGCTTCTTTCTAAAATCAATAAAAACATATTTAAAAAACAAAAGAATACAGGCACCACTTATGTGGTATTTCTGCCAAAGATGTATAACCTACATCTAATCATTAGGAAAATCAGACAAACCCAAAATGAGGAACTTTCACAAAATAACTAGCCTTTAAGTGTCAGGGTCATGAAAGTCAAGAAAAGACTCAAGAACTATATCAGACTGAAGGAGACTAATGAAACATGAGTGAATGAATGAGTGAGTGAACAACATGATGGGAGGGATGTGATGGTGAGAAAGGGGGTGGGAGGAGATGGCAGACACGAGACTTGCCATCACCAGGAACATCCAAGCAACCTTCTATTCAGCAGCCATAGGGAGATCCAGGTACTGCACCAGACATTCAACACACACTCTCTTCAACCCAGATTTAGAGCTGGTGTCATGCCTGTGCTGCAAAATAGAAAACTGAGGATCAGGAGAGTAAGCAACCTGCCCAAATCAGGCAGCCAGAAAGCAGCCTGGCAGGGATTCAAAACAAAACCAGGTCTTGCTGTAGTCCTAACCATCAAGGAGCACTCAAGTGTGGCTTCTGAAGAAACTAGAACTTCTCTAAATCCACGTGTGGAAGCTGGCTTGGCTTTGCAAGTCCTCAAATGTGTGTATAGACAGTGAGTGTATGGAGGGGCCGTGATAACGGGATGATGCTCTGTAGGTTAGAGTCCAACCTGGGAATGCCTCGTCCCTCGGGCCAGCCTCAGTGCCCCAGGGCCTGGCTGCACCCACTGCTGGGTACACACTGGAAGGGGCTCACATTGCCCAGACATTGCCCATTCTCCCTCAGCCTTTTGGATCAGGACTGTTGTGGCTTCAGAACCAAAGGCCTCCCTCGAGACAGCAGACAGTGGGCGGAGCACACAGAGCCCCAACACAGTGCAAACTCTGCATACCATTTTATCTTCTAGATACAGCTGGAAACTTCAAAGGCTTCCCAGCTCGTGGCAGACTCTTAGGGAAGAAGGCCATCAGCAGGGCCTGGTTGGGAGGAGGGCACTGGGAAGGTAAGAACCCTGGCTGTGGTGACCCTCCAGGTGAGAAAACTGAGGTCTGGGTGGTGATCTGGAGAACAGAGAGCATCCATGGGCCTCATGGCCCATAGCGCCCACAGCGACTGGCCTGGCTCCCAGCCCAGCTCTTTCCACCGCCCCCAGGAGGCAGTATGGCTTCGCCAAGACCGGTAAATTACATCTAGCAATGTTCTTGCCTGCAGGGCCAGGGGCCACATCAGCAAGGTGTAATACTAAGAGGCTTTGGGAGGCACGAGTGGGGTAGGGGTGTGTCATTGGAGAATACCTAGTGGGCGGGTCTGTGACTGGAACCCATATTCATTGGGCCCTGGGCAAGTCAGTCATGTCAGTGAATATCTGGGAGCTCCCAGAACTGAAGGGAAGGAGCTAAACTGGGCTATAATGCCCTTAAATCCTGGTTACAACAGGGAGCCTGACATGCAGCCATTTCACAGCTGAGAAAACTGAGGCCCAGGGTAAATACAGACTATGACCCCTCCGGACCCCATGACAGGGAGAACTGGGATTGCCCAAAACTCCTGGGTCCACCCCCCAACACCCTGAGTTCCACAGAGCCATGGTCAGAAAGGACTGGACAATTAAGGAAAGCCATCAGGAAAGACTCCTGCAGTCTTTGGATCTGGCAATCCCAGATTCCAA